CATTGCTGATGCAGCTGCCAAGATAAGTGAAATGATCAACCACCTCGAGTTCCTCGTTATCAAGGGTCAAGGGGTCATCAAGTGGCTGGTGGTCCTGCGGCAACACTTTGAAGGTTCGAAGTGCATATCAAATAATGGGACCACTCTGGACAGGCTATTCAGGGTTGATTGGGCCGCCCCAACGCCGTCCAAAAGCAACACGATATCATCTGCATAATCTAGATCAACTAATCTTTCATCAGGCAGCACTTCAACGCCTACATCGTGAGGTTCCGCAAGGGAACACTCCATGATAGAATCCACGACGAAATTGAACAAAAATGGGGAAATCGGATAACCCTGACGAACGCCACTTGTAGTCGAAAAGCTACCCGATAGGACACCATAGACCCTGACGCGGCCTGTAGTCTCCGAGTATAGAGCACGAAGGATGTTCACATATTTCGTGGGAACACCTTTTCGCGCAAGTATTTCGAACAGAATGCATCGATCGACTGAATCGAACGCACTCTTGAAATCGAGGAACACAGCTATTGTCGGTCTGCGGTATGCGTGGCGCTGCTCTAGCACCTGCCGCAAAGTGAATATATGCTCTATACAGCCACGCCCTGGACAGAAACCGGCCTGCTCTTCCCTAATCCTAGATTCACGTTCGGCAGTGAGGCGACGAACGATGACCGTGGCCAGTAATTTTGTCACAACTGGCGTTAGCCTAATACCCATGTGGTTAGGACAGTCTGTCCGACTGCTCTTCTGGTATATTGCCACTATAATCCATTAGCTCTAATTAGCCGGGACACTCTTCGTTCCAGATACGTTCGAATAGGGAGGTCAGTACCCTGCAGCGGACCTCCATCCTTAAATAGTGCAGGTGGGAGCGAATCCGGGCCAGCGGTACGAAAACGATTAATGGCTGTGATCGCGTTTCGGATCTCGGCCTCCGACGGAGGCTCTAAATTAACCGCTCATGGCTCGACCTGCATCACCTGAGTAGGAAGAGGTCCGGGAGCAGGGGACCAGCTGAACTGATCTTGAAAGTGTTCAACCCAACGAGCCATACGGCGCTCCTTATTGTGTATCAGCGCACCCGCACTGTCTCTGATTTTCTCACTGACGCCTGCTTTCCTGGGAACAGTGGTGCGACTTAGCTGGAAGAGCTTCCGGTAATTGCCTACTGCTCCTGCCTCCTCCATTTCTTGAGCCCGACTGGTCCACCAGGCTTCCTTGTCAGCACGTAGGCTCCGCTTTAGTTCACGCCCAATAGCCCGTCTGGTCACATTGTGTTCAGAAAGAGCCGGGAGGTGTCTTCTAGCTTCCAACAGGTTCGCCGACCTCTCGGATATCCAGTGACTAGTGAGGTGACGATGGATAGTGCCACAAGCAGATGCTCCTGCGTCGTGCATGGCACCCGAGATCCTATTCCAATGAAGTTCAGTGTCATTAGGACAAGACAGCGAGAGTTCGGTATGCAGTGCGTCTTGACAGGCTTGCCTGACCGAGGGCTGAGACAATTTCTCAGTTGCCAATCGGAGGAGACGCTTGGTGCACCTCCCGGTAAAGTTCATGGAGAAACAACAGCGTACTATGGCATGATCAGATTCGACGCAGCTATTGCAGTACTAGCGGAAATCCTGGATGGAATCACACCATCTGTAACTTATGGCTCTGTGGTCAACTTGGGTCCATCGATGGCCACTTACAGGGGGACGCGAAGTGGCACTTCGGCGCCCAATGTGTCTAAAAGCAGTGCTACTAAGAAACAACTGGTGCTGCGCACACAGTTGCAGCAGACGCTCACCATTGTCAGTCGGTTCGGAGTTGAGTCCACAATTACCACCCAGCTGAGCTTCTGAAGAGCCCACAAGCCCTACTTGTGCGTTCACATCCCCAGCAATTACTAGAATATCTGAGTTAATAGCACTGCGTACTAGGGCGTTCAATTCGTGATAGAAAGTGTCCGTGACAGCATTAGAACTGCAGTCGGTGAGAGCATAAGAAGAAATCACAACCAAACAACGTTTTTTACTACTTCGGGAATCATCCTTGGCTGATGTCGTCAAACGGGCTGCACATAAACGGACTTTCATCGGAATCCAATCAACCAACGATGGCTCAGTCTTGGAGCTTAGAATGATACCTACACCAGCTTGACCCGTGCGTGCCGCATCGTCGTCTCCGGATGCGTGAAACCAATAACGAGAGGATATGCCGGGTGCAGTTAATTCAACAACCCCATTAGGGTCATTAATCCTAGTTTCGGACACACAACACACATCAACACCCAGTGTGTCCAAGTTGCGTGCGAGTGCAGCCTGCTGACCTGTTTGTCTTAGAGTGCGAACGTTGAATGTCGCCATGGAAACGGGACAGCGTGGCCTTATAAGGGACTTTTGCCGATAGGCGTCCGGTGCGTATCTCTAGAAGGTGGGTGCAGATGGTTCTACTCCAGTGGCACTTCGGTTGCTGTCAATTAAGCTGGGAATCATAGTGGGAAGTTTAATAATGGGGTGGAAAAGAAAGAAGGCGCCAGCAGTAGAATGCTTTCGCTTATCCGCCATGCTGTATGCAGCAGATAACGCGACCCTTGATAATCTGCGCGATGGCCGGTGCAGGATGAAGTTTATGTTTGAAGGAAAAGTCATGGTTGTGTGTGGGCTGGGATACTGCCAGAGCGCCCAGACCTAGTCAGGAGGACGACTAGGGTCCTCATCCAAAGCCTTTGGCTCAGAAGCCTGTCCGCAAGGCAGTGGCGTGGCAGTGAGTTTTACGAAAATGGACGCCATCCCATTTAAACCCCCAAGCTGGAGGACCAGGAGACTGAGTTTGTCTGACCTCTCACCATTGACCAACCTGGTAGGAGTAGCTCTCAAGGTCCCCAGAGGCATCAACCAGTATAACTCACTGGGTCAATGAGGTATGCAAACCGTCGCGCCATGTTAAGGTCCAGTCTCGTTGCGACGTAACGTTAAGGTCCAGTCTCGTTGCGACGGTTAAAGTCCAGTCTCGTTTGCATGGATGAGGATTAGTGACTTAACGGTTTATAGAAAGTGTAATAAGCAACAGATGGTTGAAAAGTTAGTGTTGTCATGTTTTTCAGATCAGATTCCATTAGTGCACTGGTAGATTGGTGAAGGCCGAAAGGTATGACCATATATTGCCAAGAAAGAAACGATTTTAGATAATATCTAAATGTAGAGAGACCTTCGTCATCAAAGTAAAACAGTGTTAAATGCAACAAACAAAAATACTTTTCATCAATGCAGGTAGAAAACAGAAGTTGCAGCATACTGGCGTAGCGGTCGACTTCAATAATCACAGAGGTAACATACGGTGCGCACATGTCGTCGGTGCTGGGCAAGGTTAGGAAAAGTTGTTTTCCACTGCATACCAAACAATCATGACCACAGTAAATTGACTGATTGTCTCAGTAGAATCTGGATGCAAAAATGGAGTGGATTTTGTCCTGGACTGGATGCTTCGTAACTGTAAATGCGGTGGCGAGTGAGGTCTACTTGGTTAGACCGTTCGAAGGAGATCGAATTACCAACCACATTGGCCCAAGCTCAGATCAGCCCCAAGATGAACTTACGCGACCACTCAAGTGAAATTCAGATATGCCACACGAAGCATGATCACTCGCAGTCACACAGATAGTCCGACAAATAGTTTCGCTTCGCACTTCCTCTGCCGGTTCACTTGTAGTCGCGGTGATGCTTAGGTAGGCTGGACCGGCGAACGGATTTGTAGACGAGTGTTGGAACTATCGGTGGTGACGCAACAAGGTCGGGTACACCAGGAAATGGAGCGATCTCTCTTCTTCCATTGTAAACACGACACGGCGATGTCCACCAGTGTTAGCAAGAGAATATGTGTTGATATACCGCAAGTCACTGAAGCCATCTGCTCGGAAACTGCTGAGACAAGCAATCATAAGACCGTGGCCATGACACACCGCAACTTTGTCTTCTACCTGCAGTGCGAAACATGTTGGGTGGATTCAGTGTTTAATCGTAGGAATTTGGTAGATACGATGCTAGTAGTACATCAATGGACAAGTTTGCAAAAAAATAATATGAAACGAGGCATTTCCTGCGCCAACGTTACCGTTACAATGTGTATCAAAAACTAATGACGTGATCATCATTCAAATAGATATCTTTAACAATGGTGCCAAGCGCAGGAACCATAATGAAGTCATGAACCTCAAGACTCACGTATAATCTAGATAGCTAGACAATTTAAGCGGCATGCCTGTGTTTCAGTAGTTCCCAAGCAGCGAAAACATATAGCAAAGTAAATCGGTTCACAACCCAGTTCACATAACGCATTACCATTAACTCAACACGTGTTCATCAGTCTGGTTATCTTTGTTAAACTTATGCAGAAAGCAGCTTTGCTTGCTGCGAAAACGAGAGACCACTTTGAATTCAGAAGCGTCTGTAAAGTGTTAACTGATTCCATACTTAATAAAGCTTACAGTAAATGGCTGCAAATGCATCCTTTTTAAACATTTGATGCAAAAGTTTATCGCAATACAATATAAGGTTGTGCTGAACTTAAGCCTAATGAGAAATCGGGAGGATACCAAATCGGTCAGGCCGCTATGAGCAAGAAGGGAGTATAAAATAGTTACGTTGGACTCTACTGTGCGTATTACCACTAAGCGTCAGGAGGAACTTGGGTTAAAACTGGTGGTTAATAACGAATAGTTAATAACCTCACGTACTAGCCAGCAAAGCGTTTGAAAGCTTCCTTTTAAACCAAATAGTAGTATGAGCCGGTCAAAGCGGATGCCAAACAGTTAAACTGAGTGCCACGGAAATCAATTCGGCAAAATCTGCGGTGCTGTAAGACGATATGGGATAGATACTAACACGTAAACCGTTAATGGATAAACAGGATAATTTGTACGAAAGAGGATAACTCGGAATGATAACACGAGCTGGTGTACTGGTTGGTTAAAGCAATTAATGAAAAAATGATTCACGAATGAAACTTACAAAGGCTCATCAGCTTGGTGATCTGGATTGCCCTGAAGAAAAAGGTAACGAGGGGTTGATTATCGAACTGGGGGAAAAAAGAAGTTTGATGCATGCATCTTAGTGGAAGGTGTTTCAAGTTGAGGGTTCGAAATCAAAAGATCCAGTTTCAGTAACTTATACTAACCCGTAGATGGGTAAATGCAAGCCTCTGTGTAATAGTATGGCAATGTTGAGAGGAAATACATAATATAGTAGCCTAACTTCGTAACCGATAAGTAAAGCCGTTAGCAATCGAAGTCCCGACCGAAACAAAGGAGAAAGGCCATTACACAAAATGCACGGTTGCTAAGGTCGAGAAGGTATTCGGGCAATTACGTATACTTTCCCAGGAGCTCGACGGTAGGTAGTTACGATACAGCAAAATAAAAGAGTAGATCGCCCAAGCATTATGACAAACAGGAAATGTGTATCATCATGATTATTGGGTACAATCTGAAAATGTTTTCACGTACCAGGAGTTGATTCGGTGATTTTACGCCACTGACAGCTTCTTCTTCCTCTCTTGCTTCGTCTTCAGCCTAAATGTAAGCGAGAAATGGGCACGGTGTATCTATTTTTATAAGTACCATGTTCCTCAGATATATAGGAACAACTAGTTTTGCGTTGAAAACGGGAACTGATGTGCGTCACAATGAGTGTGACCCACAAATGGAGTACACATCAAGTAAACTTAGCACACTGTAAACGCTTGCAGTTGAAACTATGAACGGTTGTTTTAGCTACTTTTTGGACACTAGTGGTCGCGGGTATGTAAGAACTTTACATTGCAGCAAATGAAAACGCGTCGAAATGGGAGGAAGCGAGTCCTAAAGATATAAAGCAGATCGCACAGATGCACACAGAAATGTTGCATACTCGTGATCTCAGGACTTGAAAACAATCGGTTAGTAGATTTACGCGGCAACATTTCGTCTTTGGCACAAAAGCTTCGATAAGCCAAGTGGACGGAAGGATGAGTAGTGTAAAATTTATAGCAAGCTAGGAGGATAATCACGACGGCAGTGATGTATGTGGAAGGGTAATCGCACTACAGGCCAAAGTGCCATTACAAGTGATACACTAAGAATGGAGTGATACCAAGCGGCTAATGTTATTAGGCCTTTACACGTAAGTCCCTACCAGTGATAGAAGCAAAGCCGGTTTGATGTTTGCTCTTTGTCCAGGATCACCATGTGAATGTTCCTCAAGGTGGCCGGGTTAAAACATCCAACCACGTATTCGGAAACTTCACCCTATCCATTCTGTTCACGCAGCTGCTGGCTTTGGCGACTTCCAATACCTCGGCGGTCAACCTTTGGTTTGTCAACTGCAACACCACCCAATGATCTCGATAACATACAACCCGATTTTGTGCACTGTGAGGAGCGTATGCAATGCTGCCACTATATCTCTTAGTAAAGCTTTGTATTCAGGCCCGTTAATCGGCAGTCGTGACGTGCGCTTCTCGTGTCCTTCCAGCTTAATATGTAGCTAGCGTGCATATATGCAATGGTTGTAACTAAGCTTAGACACGTAGCGAATCGTTCAAACTGTGGGAAATGTGTGCTTGAAACAAATCAGTCAATAGGGCGTTTGAAAGGTCACGCTTATAGTTTCCTTGTTTAGTAGTCTCCGGATGACTTCCGAAGTCATGCGCTTATAAGAAATTCTTACCGTCACAATCTACTGTGTGGTCCACCATGTACATGGAGTTGGAATCATTCGCAACTAGCGTTTCATCAACAATTGCCAGTATTCATTATCCAGCAACTATTTCAGCGTCTCTTTTCGAGCGGCGTCCCACTGTGCACAGGGTATGGGCTCTGTGAGACAGACATGAGGCGATCACGGCACATCCATGTTATTGTCGACCTGTATTGCAGTGGAACACGCTACTTATGTCCGTCGGTTTACAGAACATTGTTATTTTTAGACTTCCGCCATTCATGTGAGCAAAGCAGTCAAGGAATCACAATGTGCCAACGCAAGAGACTAATTCCGTGGTTAAGTTTATTGTCTCATTGAAAAACCCACTCTCTTTCCATACGAACACTTGCGAAAGGCCTGCCGGAAATTCGACTAGTTCGGGTGCAGGATAGTTTGTATCATCTTCAATAGGTTGAATGGGTACATCAGGATTAAGGGTCCCAAACATTCGATACACCTTCAGTGCTGATTACCAATAGATGTTGAACCATTTACCCGACCACAAGATACACTTCACTTTCTTTATATAATTATATACCCCTGACTTATGACTATTCACCAGTGATATGAAAGTCCTATGCCAACCACCTAGTTTTCGTTACCAGGTGCTTGTTTGCTTTTCTAAACTATACGACTCGTTCACTGCTAACGTGGTCTTGCCTTTGGTGGTCAGAGTGCTCATTGAACTTGGCAGTTTGGCTGCAAACGTTGCGTCATAAAAAAGGATGATATCATCTGTACGTCACTGTGTAGCGGAACGATGCGCAGTACTATTGAGTGGCTGGTAGTTGTGTGTGTGTGTGTGTGTGACTGGGGGGCGAAACGCCAGTCCGAGTTCACACTACTCAACAGGTAGATGACCGAGGAAATATATCTCTCCCATTCGTGCTTTGTGAAGCTAGCATACGTACATTGGTGGTTGATATCGTCGTCCAAACTGTTTGTAGTTCACTGTTTCTTGTTTAGTTAATAAAGCTGTTGATCATTCATCCGTTACGCTTCACACACCGCATTTAGTTCAAGATGTTGTTTGAGTAAACTTGCTGTAGAGTGTCACGCGTCCAACATTTCATTCTTGCTTCGAATTTGCACGTAATGGAATTTTTACGTCCGTGAAGTCGAAGTGGTGTCATTCTTTGGCTTTATGCGTGGAAGTCCAATAATGTGGATCATATATTCCCATGGCCATTTTATGCTCGCTAATCCGCGTTGAGATATTTCCAGTTTTCCGAAGTAGTGTTAGCCACAATTTTTTCTTTTGATCTCGTAAATGACATAGCTTCGACTCTGCTGCTTGACTTTATCCACTGGTTTTAAGAGCAGTCCTCTCAAAGTGCCATTTAGTTCCTGAACTAGAAAGATTCTATCTGGCTGTAGCAACCACGAAATTCAAGGAAACACTACTCGTTTATCTACCCGTTCTCTTTGCTGTAAACGCATTCTGTTACTCAGACATTTTATGAAATTTCTTGTTCGGCGAAATTCGAGTTCGTGTTAAGAACACTTGGATCATTCTTCCGGACTACTAATACAACATGCGCCTCAAGTACACGATTGGGCTCCCCAAGCCGCTGAAGTTCAACACTTACTAGCTGTGCGCGAACAGTAGCCCATTCGAAGCGGTTAATTTCGGTGTCATGATCCCAACGCTAAAGATAACTTCTACAATTATCTTAGATGTGTCTTAGATGTGCCAAAACGTTTTACAGCAGTATACGATCTGTTCCACTCTACCTCTCACCTGAAGTACCAACTACATTACAGCAGATACTGTTAGATCCAGGTCTGCTAGTTGGGCTGGCGGCTTTCTATGTAGACACACCAAATGATCTAACTTACGGACCTGCCTTTTGCTAAGTTTCTACTTTAAGCTGAATTAAGGTCCGAAGCTTTCTTATAGATCTTGCTGCAGTTTAACTGCGTTACAACAATCCAGATCAATAAAAGCACAAAGTTCGCAGATTGGCCTTTGTCGATATACAGCGTTTAAGGTATCTTAAAGCTGATTTCCGCGTGGTGATTGCGTCACGCTGTTAAAATTGCCATATTACCAGATATATTGCTTACCAATGCCATTCCTAGATGTGCGGTCTCCACAGCGATCAGGCAGTGATGTGGGATGTCACAATCTAAGGATTTTCACGGTTTGACTGCGTAAAATTCTAGCAAAAGTTACTATTTCATCGTACACTTATGCAATCGGTGCGGATTGTTGAACTGCGCGTTGAGTTCCATTGGTGAGCCGAAACTTACCATCTTGCTTGGCGTTTATTTTAGTTGCAAAATGAGACCATTCTGTGTTTTACACTCTGTTCGTTCCATTAGCTAGCCGCGTCCAGCAGTATTATTTTTAGACCTACTGTACTGCAACTCAATCTGCCGTTTCGAACCGCCACCTGGGCTCCTGTTAAAGGCAAAATAAATAAAAGACCTAGTCTGGATAACACACAACATCTTTCGAAATCAGGTTATTGTGATAAGCCACAACAGTACGTTGGATTGATACTATAGCTCATTTACGCTATCAGTTAAGCATTGCATTAGATCCGTCTAGTCTGCCTCCTATTATTCGTTTCGAGTATTAAAACATATATAACTCCTTTCACTTTTCGCCCTATATACTTAATGTATTGGTAGTGGAAGTAAGGAAAGCCAGAATCCCTGTATTCCGGCACCCGGAATGTAGTTGACTAGACGAACAAGGAGTCATCTTAGCATATAAGGACTGGTAAAATTTGGCATTATGAAATCGATGCATAATATTCTTATGTGAATAACATACAGCAATACAATGAAGTATGCAAATGACCATCCTTGATGACGAAGAACCGTAATCAACAGATATTCGTACCCCTAGAACCATGACCAGCAACTATTGTTTGGCAGTTAACAGTGTCAACAACATACCGGACATGACGCAATGGTAAGGAACAGAAATCACATACCGAAGGTTTTGGTTTAGGCCGTAGCAAAATGAACCCGATAATTTGTAACCCGAGTAAGATACCACCGAGCATAAGGAAGACGGTCGGGACGCGGTCCAATAAAGCGTTATCAGTAAATTGTCTGGAACAAAGAACAAAGTACCAATGGCAGTTCGGATAATAATCGACAGACTATGAGACGAGGGATCGGTGATTAAGGCTGTCATAAAGGCAAAATACAAAAGTTTTCGGCTATTATATGCAAGCAAGTGTTAAAAAGAACGACTTTTATGTCGCCTCGTTTAGCAATACGTTTACAAAAGAAGAATACATAGGCACAATATTTCTCATATAAAGACACCAACAGAGAAATAGCCAAAATTAAGCTAATCTTGCTTTCGACAGCACGATAAACGTAGGCTAATGCGCCAAAAATCTAAGTTCCAGTTACGAATAAAGATATTACTAATACAAAAATGGACAAAAAGCATGAGATCGGAGCTCCGCGGCACACAGTTGATGCTAGCGTATTTTCACAAGCGCAAACAAAGACAAGCTGACCATGCCAAAGCTGACAACGAGACTTATGTCACAATACGTGAGAACGAGAAAGATGCAAATGGACAGTGGTGAAAGCATATTTGCTTTCACCATTGTCAATTTGCGTCTTAGATTTGCAAAAGTCTGCATTATAGGAAGTGTTAGCAGAAAAGATAATCTATTCGTTTATAGAAAGAAAAGGCACGAAGTCAATGGAAAGCTCAGCAACCTAGTACAGACAGGGCGCCAGCAGATATGGTAAAGGGTGCAAAACATTGGCTTGGTTCGAAACCGATAGAGTAACTATCTTTTCCCAATAATAGGGGCCAGTAAACCATAATGACAGCGAATAAAGAGTATGTCTATATAATGGTTGATCACAGATGATTAGTTGAGAGATAGTTAATCAAAGGCCACGGCACACAGATGAAACTCAATATGGCAGCTGCTGCGCATCTTGGCGATACAAAAAGAAATGGCCTTGGCTAGAATTGAAGACTGTGCAGATTGCGGTAAAAGAAAAGGAGTGTGTAAATTATAAAAGAAGTGAATGAAGAATGTTGGAATTAACAAAACTTGGATGGCAAAAAGGTGGATAACAAAAATAAGTCAATAAAATGGGCATAAAGAAGCTAGAGATTCAAACATATGTGCATATGAATAATGGCCGGTGGCCGAAAGAATAAGGATTTCAACGCGCCATCCAAAGGTCGCCGGTCCAAATCTGCTTATGTGTTGGCAGCCTCGTAATATCCCCAGCCAAAACGCGTGGCAGTAAAGCGTCGGTACAGTGTGTCACTAAAAAATGACACACACATGACAGTTACCAAGGCTTTGCTCAGGTTTTCGGCGAGCCACACGACAGAAGCCAACCTGCCAAGTACATGTGAACAATGGTTTGTCTCATATAGTGTCTCTGTGTCTCCGCTATTTGCAATTATGAGATAGTTGCTGATCGGCTTGGTTCGCAGGCAAATTGAAAACAGTGCAGAATACTGGCTGAAGTTTCAGGATAGCAAAGAACGCAGTTGCTATGCTTCGTCAGAAAAAGGAACAGATCTAAATATGGAGATGATTCACCATCTTAAGCGAAACAGCTTCTGAATGAAACAATCCTCATTATTATTATTATTAATATCATCATCCTCGTCATCATCATCACCATCATCAACAGCAGTACATCAGCCATTTGAACTGATGATTCGCTGCCATACAACCATGAGGACCTATGAAATAAAGAGTAAGAAGAGGGAGAGAAGGGGGACTTACCTGGAAACCTTAATGCCCTAAGCAAACATTCAGGGTCAAGGCGCCTACACCTTGTGTAGACAACATACCGTGACAAACAGCTGGCTATCGTGCAAAGATAAGGCGGCATCGGCGAGACACCTTCCTTGCGGCTTTCACTGACACGAGTTATAATCAGCCATTACTCCGCAGATAACTCAGCACCAAACACACTTTAAACAGACAATCCGATTAGAAGACGGCACGAGACGCGCCACTGGTGTCGGTTGCGAGCCACGTCCTGTAAAGTCACTAGCCAAGCACAAGGTGAGTCATGTGGACTCCAATCCGAAAGGCAAGACGGACCAACGGCACCCAGTTTGGTCGTCAGTGACTTCATTTCCCGCTGCCAAGTCAACTTCTGTCCACCTCGAGCCTTGCGCCACCGTTCACCTCACAGACTAAACAACGCCGTCCTAAGTAAACGGTGACCAGGCATGCGTAGCACGTGCCCGAGCCAACGCAACTTATTCAGTGCTATTTGTTGTTCTAAGGAACTAGCATGATTATCACTACCCAGTACTCGTCTACGCACATCGTTGCGGACACGCTGGTGCCATCCGACACCAGCAATGCTTCGTAGACAACGATGATCAAAGACTTGAAGGCGCCTCAGATCTTCAGACCGAAGGGGCCAAGTTTCGCTACCATACAGCAGAACGGCTCTCACTGTGGCCTTGTATACACGGCATTTCAGATGGAGGGAAACTCCCTTCTGTCGCCAAAGATGCCAAAGATTCAAGAGGGTAGCTCTGGCTTTTGTAATGCGTGAGCTGACGTCAGTTACTATGTGTCCATCGTTGATGATGCAGCTGCCAAGATAAGTGAAATGGTGAACCACCTCAAGTTCCTCGTTAGCAAGTGTCAGGGGGTCATCAAGTGGCTGGTGGTCCTGCAACAGCACTTCGCACTTTCAAGGTGCGAAGTGCATATCAAATAATGGGACCACTCTGGACAGGCTATTCAGGGTTGATTGGGCCGCCCCAACGCCGTCCAAAAGCAACACGATATCATCTGCATAATCTAGATCAACTAATCTTTCATCAGGCAGCACTTCAACGCCTACATCGTGAGGTTCCGCAAGGGAACACTCCATGATAGAATCCACGACGAAATTGAACAAAAATGGGGAAATCGGATAACCCTGACGAACGCCACTTGTAGTCGAAAAGCTACCCGATAGGACACCATAGACCCTGACGCGGCTTGTAGTCTCCGAGTATAGAGCACGAAGGATGTTCACATATTTCGTGGGAACACCTTTTCGCGCAAGTATTTCGAACAGAATGCATCGATCGACTGAATCGAACGCACTCTTGAAATCGAGGAACACAGCTATTGTCGGTCTGCGGTATGCGTGGCGCTGCTCTAGCACCTGCCGCAAAGTGAATATATGCTCTATACAGCCACGCCCCAGACGGAAACCGCCCTGATCTTCCCTAATCCTAGATTCACGTTCCGCAGTGAGGCGACGAACGATGACCGTGGCCAGTAATTTTGTCACAACTGGCGTTAGCCTAATACCCATGTGGTTAGAACAGTCTGTCCGACTGCTCTTCTGGTATATTGACGCTATAATCGATTTGCTCCAAGTAAACGGGACGCTCTCTTCTGTCCAGACACATTCGAATAAGGTCAGTGCTTTGCAAAGGACATCCCCTTCATTCTTAAATAGTGCAGATTGGAGGGAATCCGGGCCACCGGGATGAAAACGATTAAGGGCTGTGATCGCGTTTCGGATCTCGGCCTCCGACGGAGGCTCTAAATTAACCGCTCATGGCTCGACCTGCATCACCTGAGTAGGAAGAGGTCCGGGAGCAGGGGGCCAGCTGAACTGATCTTGAAAGTGTTCAGCCCAACGAGCCATACGGCGCTACTTACTGTGCAGCAGCGCACCGGCACTGTCTCTGATTGTCGCACTGACGCCTGCTTTCCTGGGAACAGTGGTGCGACTTAGCTGGAAGAGCTTCCGGTAATTGCCTACTGCTCCTGCCTCCTCCATTTCTTGAGCCCGACTGGTCCACCAGGCTTCCTTGTCAGCACGTAGGCTCCGCTTTAGTTCACGCCCAATAGCCCGTCTGGTCACATTGTGTTCAGAAAGAGCCGGGAGGTGTCTTCTAGCTTCCAACAGGTTCGCCGACTTCTGGGATATCCAGTGACTAGTGAGGTGACGATGGATAGTGCCACAAGCAGATGCTCCTGCGTCGTGGATAACGGCCGAGATCCTATTCCACCGACGCTCAGTGTCATTAGGACAAGACAGCGTAAGTTCGGTACGCAGTGCTTCTAGGTAGGCTGGCCTGACCGAGGGCTGAGACAATTTCTCAGTTGCCAATCGGAGGAGACGCTTGGTGCGCCTCCCGGTAAAGTTCATGGAGAAACAACAGCGTAACAATGCATGATAAGAGTCCACACAGGTACTCCAGTATTACTGGCAATCCAGGATGGAACCATGCCACCTGTAACTTATGGCTATGTGGTCAATTTGAGTCCATCGCTGACCAGCTACAGGAAGACGCCAAGTGGCACTACGACGCCCACTGTGTCTAAAAGCAGTGCTACTAAGAAACAACTGGTGCTGCGCACACAGTGGCAGCAGACGCTCACCTTTGTCAGTCGGTTCGGAGTTAAGTCCACAATTACCACCCAGCTGAGGTTCTGAAGAGCTCACACGCTCTACTTGTGCGTTCACATCCCCAGCAATTACTAGAATATCTGAACTAGTAGCACTGCGTAGTCGCGCGTTCAGTTCGTGATAGAATGTGTCCTTAACTTCATTAGAACTGCAGTCCGTGGGAGCATAAACGGAGATCACATACAAACAGCGTATTTTACTACTTCATGAATCAATTTAAGCTGATATCGTCAGACGGGTTGCACATAAACGGCTGTTCACCGGAATTCAATCAACCAATGATGGCTCAGTCTTGGAGCTTAGAATGATACCTACACCAGCTTGACCCGTGAGTGCTGCATCGGCGTCTCCGGATGCGTGCAACCAATAACGAGAGGATAAGCCGGCTGCAGTTAATTCAACAACCCATTAGGGTTATTGATCCTAGTTTCGGACACACGACACACATCAATACCCAGTGTGTCTAAGGTGTGTTCGAGTGCATCCTGTTGACCTATTTGTCTTAGAGTGCGAACGTTGAATGTCGCCATGGAAACGGGATAGCGTGGCCTTATAAGGGACTTTTGCCGATAGGCGTCCGGTGCGTATCTCTAGAAGGTGGGTGCAAATGGTTCTACTCCAGTGGCACTTCGGTTGCTGTCAATTAAGCTGGGAATTATGGAAGGAAGGTTAGTAATGGGGTTCTGAATAGGAGTAAGAGAAAAAGGTGGAAAAGAAAGAAGGGAGACGCCAGCAGTAGCATGTTTTCGCTTATCCGCCCTGCTGTATGCAGCAGATAAGGCGACCCTTGATAATCTGTGCGGCGGCCGAAGAAGGATGAAGTTTATGTTTGAAGAAAAAGTCATGGTTGTATGTGGGCTGGGATACTGCCAGGGCGTCCAGACCTAGACAGGAGGACGATAAAGGTCCTCATCCAAAGCCTTTGGCTCAAAATCCTGTCCGCAAGGCAGCGGGGAGGTGGCAATGATTTAGTTTTACGGAAATGGAGCCACCCAATTTCAAACCTCCAACCTGGAGGACCAGGAGACTGAGTTTGTCTGACCTTTCACCATTGACCAACCTGGTAGGAGTAGCTCTCAAGGTGCCCGGAGGCATCACCCAGTATAGCTCAATGGGTCAATGAGGTACGCAATTCGTCGCACCACGTTAAGGTCCAGTCTCGTTGCGACGGACACAAAGCTTCAACGCGATTACTACAGCTCCCTTGGCGAAGAAACGTGCCGTGTCACTTTCCAGACTGGTCGAAACTGGGGTCGAGTCGAAGACTCGTGGAGTTAGTACACCTCGTTGAGGTGATTCTTTTATTGATAGTAGCGTTGTCTTGCGTAACGTTGCTGAATCTGCGGCAGCTTTTCCCAAGGAACGCATGTTGAATAACCTCCAGTTGTTCAAGCTATGCCTCAACAAGATGCTTCCACTTGGTTTCCCAGGAAACAATGAAACAATGGAATAAAGTAGTATTGCTCACGGATACAGAAATTGTTGAGCACTTCCTTTCCATTCTAAAATCTTAGTTCCGCTACTGATAGGACCTAGTAAGGGTCCGCGGAAAGTTGACACTAAAGCTCGCTTCAATGGGCCCATCTGTGTTTGCTAAAACACGATACAAGGCCAATCGAGTTTGGGTACATGTGAACCATTGCCTTAAGCTTTTGGTAACAAGTCTGCAACTGTTGTTACGTAGGTCAGCTGATGTCTTCACAGATAAGCTGTTGCAGACAAATCGCCAACCATGGTTAGTTCCTCTGTCCTTCATGCCTACTAAATGGTTACTGTTGTGTTTGCTATTAATCGACAGTAAACCTCTTTAGGTAAAGTCCTAGTGACACATCAGGAACGCTGAGGACAAATGTTACCAAAAGAAGAGACAAGAGAAACATACGTCGGCTCTCGATTTAGTGGTTCAACCATAAAGGTGATCACCTTTGGAGTTTCATAGCCCTTCGTTGTTTTACCTCCCATCACTTTAAACGGCTATCATTGTTGAACTACAGCTCGGGTTACGGTAAACAAGTATAACGTAATTCGGATTTTGGATCCCATCTTGGTAAGCTAAGGTGAACTATTATGTAGGTTAAGAGTGACAAATGCACATTTCTGCGTATACTCAGAGGTTGGGAATCAAAAGTAGGTGCAACGATAAATAATTATTAACACAATCTGGAAATACCTGCAAGTTCAGAATGAATATGCAATTTGATTTTCATAATTTTATCAGAGTAGTTGTAAAAAACTAGGCTATTAAGTATGCATTTATGACAAAAATAAAACGTACCACAAAAATCTACGGACACCAGAACTTTGAAAGACAGATGGGTATTATCTTAGAGGCGCTGGTACCAAATACAGATAGTTAGCAACTTGCGTGTTTTCTAAACGGATGATAGGTTAGTAGTAATTACCTTGTTACATTATCCACCTTGACATTATCAGGGTTGATGAAAGCAGTTTGCACGGGCGTAAAGACAAGAGCCCCAAGGCCAAACCCCCCAACGATAAATCCAACAACCAGTCCACGTCTCGCTGGAAACCACTATTGTTAAAGCAGAAAGCCTTGATAAGTAGTGATATCACACAAGTCAGCTTGTAGACAGAACAATATAAAACTTAAAATCATGGGCCTATGCGCAAGTGGTTAGCGAAGACAGCATTTTGTGGTCATATACATGTTGGTAGCTCGAGAGTACTAGGCTGAGGCATTGGATCTAAGACAGGCGGTGAGAGTTTTGATCACTGACTGTACTAAAGCCTTTAACATCGTCGCGCCTTGTGGTCTTTCGTTTAAACTGAAAGCCAAAAGCGCTTCAAGTATTGAAATTAGTTTCAACTTTCCTGGAAACTAGACATATGAGCGTTCGAGTGGGTTCTGGGATGTCTTTCAGATTAGCCGTCCTGAGTGTTATTCCTTATAGGTCGGTTCTCGGATCTCTACTGTTTGCACCGCATGATAACGACCATACTGAAAAGCTTAAGGTACCATGCCTAAGGTTTGCGGATTAGTCAAAACTTTGTAATCTAGTGAGCCATTCCGATGGTCCCGTGGCCTTGCAGACAGCTCTTGACAAGTTTTGGGAGTGGTCCGATTTATGACACATGCCAAGAAATCTGACCAAGTGTTCGGTCATGCGCATAGGATCAAGTACAACCACAACTCGTTACGTAGTTGGCAAAAATGTAATGCCTCAAGTGACTCAACAGTTCGACTTGGGTATCTAGCCATCCCCTGACTTCAAATCCAGCAAGAACTGAAGGACTGCTACGCGCAAGGGTTTCGGAATATTGTGAATGATTTGCAGGTCGTCCGGCATCATATCAAATGAAACGCTTGTTACACTGTTCTTAGCTTTTATCAGGCCATACTTGGTACGGCATGCAGGCCTGTTCTCCATATTTGGTCCGTGACAAGATTATAGCGCGTAGATCGTGCGCTATATATCCGGTATGCAACTAGACGGCCAACCAAAAGCAGTGGGTAGAAGACACAAAAGTAAACTAGGGAAGAAGTTTATTGGACGGGAGGAGCGTTAGCTAATGCTAAAAATAGGACACCCGGAGAGAGCTAGCTAGAGAGAATGTCGTTGGCGTCGAGAGCGTAGACGGAGCGTCGTTCGCAGTCGAGCCGCGCGCCAAAGGCGGAGATCGTGTTCGTGTTTCCAACAAACGGGAACAACATTCCAACAGGCAAACCGAATAGTTCCCTAATACATAAGAAAGCCATAATTTGAATATTTAGAATGGTTTACACAGTCATACGGGGGAATCTCCGGGTCGCTACACAGCCCCCCTCCTAGAAGGGAAACCGTGGGTGACCCTTCGATCTACGTGAGGACTGTCCGTCGCGGGCCAGCCTTCTGCGAGACCAGGTAGTTGAAACGTGATGCAGCTTCTGGGGGAGAACTAGGCGATCGGACCCTAGCGGGCTCCCACCCGTGTCCTCCCTAACGGTGCCAAAAACACAAAATGGGGGAAGTACGTAAGCGTTAAATGTTCGCGAGTTCATGGTCAAATGTTCGCTTCAGGCTCGTCATCTCCTTCGGTTAATACATAGAAGATAAACGGAAACAAGAGCAGTGACGGTGGGGGTGATGGCAAAAGCAAAAGTGGCACTTACCGGATGAGGTAGGCGTCGGGCAAAGCGTAACTCCTTTCATGTGTTTTCAAAACGTTTTATGCTTTTTGGGTTTTCAAAACGTTTTGCGTTCTTTTGGATTTTCAAAACGTTTTGTGGTTTTTAGCGTTTTCAAAAGCTTTTGCCGATTTTTTTGGGGTTTTCGTACGTGGTTGGCCAAAAGGGAAAAGAGAAACGATAAGGAAAGTGAGAGAAACACTAATCCCTTAATCGCGCTGGCCAATAAACGCGTCTACCCGACCTAGTCGACTTGTGCGAATCAGAGGAAGGTGTCGTCTTAGACATCTTAGCGGATCGCAGAATTGGAGGAACTGCTGAAAAAATGGCGGTTGGTCCGATGGGAAACGGCGAAGCTGAAGTGAAAGGCTTGGTTGGAACTTGATGCTTGGGTTAAGGGATGTTGGAAGCATGCGAGTCTTCGATCATAGGCTGGGTTGATTCTTCGGAAGACGAACAAGGGTCTTCATCGAGCTCAGGTTCCACGTGGGCAACCTTGAGACGGTCAATCGTAACGGCTTCTCGTTTACCGTAACGGTCGATGATAAAAACGCGGTCTTTACGCTGCAGGACCTTGAAAGGACCTTCGAAAGGTCGCTCCAGTGGTCTGCGGAGACCATCGAGGCGGAGAAAAACGAACGGACAATGCTGCAGGTCTTGTGGAATAAAAGATTTACGTTGTTGTTCTCTAACGTTGGGGAGCTTGTACTGACGCATGCTCGTGGCTAGCTGACGTGCATAGTTTGCGTCGTAACGGGTAATTCTGGGACTAACGGAGAAATCGCCAGGTAAACGCAGTGGTTGTCCATATACTAACCGGCGCTGGACGTACGTAGATCGGCCTTTAGGGCTGATCGGATCCCAAGGAGGATCATAGGCAGCACCTCAGTCCAACTCAGCGCATTGGCGGCGCTAAGTGAGGCTTTCAACTGTCGGCGGAAACGTTCCACCATGCCGTTCGCTTGCGGATGATAGGCGGTCGTGCGAATGCGTTTGTTGTAGTGCTGTTTCCTTAACACGGAACCTGCTAGGCTACGACCGTCTGACTGTCCAGTCCCGCACCAGCCAACCAACGGGATACAGAAAAAGGCCAAGACTCGGTAACAGGGAGTATATTCTACACGACAGACCGCTCGTATTTATTAGGTAACGAAACGTACTATTTTTAGGAAGCCTAGCTATGCGACTGGCTCTCAGCCAATGTCAGTGATTTTGGTTCCACGGTTTTTCCATATTTGGCCGAAAGCACTGCCTCCTTTGGCGCTGACTTGTATTTGCTAGCCAAAACTCTCGCCTGAACTGGCTTGTATTCGTTGGCCAAAAACTCGTGCCTGCTTTCCGAACAGTTTGACTTTGTACCGTGCTCGTGCTTTCACATGTAGCAGACAGCTCACGTACTCCACAGGAAACCCACACACGTTTGCGATCTCGTATTCGGACATTGGCTGGGCCCGCCTCTCTAGCACCACCCTCTTTCAAAGGACTGCTTCTCCTTACCTTTCGCACCTGAGCTTGGTCGTAGCTTTTTTCCCTTGGGTTCACTTGCAGCCACTGCGGCTGTCTTCGTCTTCGACTTGGCTTGCTCGGTATATCACGCGGTAATTGAGCAACCGGTTCTATCCTATTTGAGGCATCAGTTTCGTTTTCCAATCCAAATGTATCTAGCAGAATGTCCCACTGTAGTTTTGACGATGCTTGAGGTCTCTGGGTGTTTCCATGTCGTGGCCGTAGATGGTTGACATGCCTGGTCCACTTGTCCTTTCCGACCATTATCTCATGTATAACCTTACCCTTTTTTCCGATAACCGTTCCGATGGACCACCTTCCCGGAGTCTGGAAGTTTCGTGCGTACACCAGTTCACCGACCTTAAACCTACGAAGTCTCCCTTCCTGCTCTTCGTTCGTTTGTCCGTTGTGTTTTTCATCACATCTAGGAATCAGGCTATCAAATATAGTTCTAATTTTTCGTCCGAAGAGGCGTTCCGCAGGAGACTTCCCTTCTGGTGTGTTTGGATTCGGAGTGTTGCGATACATTCTCAGGAACGGTTGGATTATATCTCGTGACACCCTCGATCCTTCCGCCTTAAGAAGAGCACGTTTAAATGTATCTACGAATCTTTCGGCCTGCCCATTTGATTGTGGATGGTACGGCAGTGAAAACTTGTGCCGAATTCCGTTTTGTGCGCAGAATTCTTGAAATAGCGTAGATGTGAACTGCGGTCCGTTATCCGTAACTAGTATTTCCGGTGTGCCAAAATACTGGAACAATTTGCTCAGCTCATTGATAGTGTGCTGGGCGGTGGGGTATTGCATCGGAATCACGTCGGGCCACTTCGTGTAGGAATCAACGAAAATCAAGTAGGACTGACCGTTGATTGGTCCTGCGTAATCCAAGTGTACTCGCTGCCACGGCTTCTCCGACTCGGGCCAAGGTTGCCACGGAGACTTTGGAGGGGCCTTCGCCGCCTGCTGACAAGATTCACATCTTTGGCAAAACTGTTCGATTTCTGAATCCATTTGGGGCCAATACACAAAACTTCGTGCCAGCGCCTTCATTCGGCTGGTTCCCGGATGTCCTGAATGAAACTGCTGTAGAATTCGGCTCCGCAACTTTTTCGGTACCACTACTCGATCTCCAAACATCAGACAATTACCAACAACCGAAAGAGATCCGCGTCGATTGTAAAAGGGTTGTAGGTCAGCCGAAATTCTGATATTGGGCCAGCTGGATTGCACGAACTCTATCACTTTCGGTAAGAGTTCGTCTTTAGCCGTCTCCACACGAATTGTGTCCGACGTTACAGGCAACTCTCGTACACTGTCAAACAGAATTTGCTGAACTTCTGACTCGAAATTAACAAATGCGACCACACATTCATCGTTCTCCTCCGTCTGGGAGCTGATAAGGCGAGATAGAGCGTCAGCTTGGCCGAGTTGTTGTGTTGAGCGGTACTGTATGCTGAAATCGTAACTTAGCAGTATGGTAGCCCATCTCTGTAACCGACTTGCAGTGAAAACAGGAACATCCTTCTTCGATCCGAATATCGACAATAAGGGCTTGTGATCCGTAATCAGTTTAAAATGTCTGCCGTATAACAACTTGTGGAACCGTTTCACTGCGAAAACGATCGCCAGCGCTTCCTTCTCAATCTGGCTGTAATTCTTCTCCGCCACCGTCAGGGACCGTGCTGCGTGGGCGATAGCCTTCTCTTCTCCTCCTGGAAACAGATGAGAAATAACAGCACCCACACCATAATTGGAAGCGTCCGAAGCGACGACAATCTCCAAGTTTGGATTGAAGTGAGTCAAAAGCAAGTCGGAACTAAGTGCTTTTTTCACTGTATCAAAGGATTGTTGACACTCCTTTGTCCATCGCCCTTCTTTCCCTTTCATCAGCAACTCGTTCA